CAGGGAAGAGGGGGGCTGCATCAAAGTGTTAAAGCGGAGCACTTGGAGTTGCCATTTCCCGCATGGATGGTGCTGAGAAATGCATCGCAGCAAAATGGCTCTGACAATGCCTCAGACTGTGTCCTAGAAAAAGGGAGGGTGTGTAATTTCCTCATGAGCAGCCAGGCCTTCTGACAGAGCAGAGGGAGCTGTACCCGATGTAAGACTTCAGCAGAGCCTTCATGACTCCAACCCCAAGTGGTGTTTTTCAAACTGCATCAGAAAGCCCATCTCTTCCGTGCACATCTTGGGATGTCCAACTAGCTGTAGAGCCAATGCCCTCAAAAGAGAGTAACACTCTCGCACCACACAATGTAACACTTCAGTACTCTAGTCTCTCATTCTTTCATTTATCTTTATTTGTAAAAGTTGTATAAAATGCCTTTTAAAATTGGTCTGGTGAAACGGGGAGGCTTTTCCAGTGTTGACTAGGTTTCTGTATAGGAGTAATGTAGAAGTAGCGAGACATGGATACACAGAAAAGCAACTGAGCCAGACTGCTAGGAAAGCCTGTCATCATCATTGGCATCATGAACTATGTAGTGACATGAGCTCACGTCCACTGCTGTCCATACACTTTATTACAGAACTGTGGTATCATGACTTAGTAACCAGCCTCTTCACAGTGGGGAAAAAAAAAATTCAGGAAAATTTACAAAAGCTACACTTCAAAATTTGAAACACTTTTACAAAGGACGAAGAATGAATCTGATGCCAAAACCAGAAGCTGACAGATTCGTCTATTGCTAAAGTATTACTTTGATACCAACCACTTCCAGACTCCAACCCTTGCACAAGGCAAATCTATTTCTAGAATAATGAACAGAAGTTCAGTGGCACCTACTGCTTTGAAGAAAATGTGATGCAGGTTTTTGAGTAAAGCAGAAAGGCTGTAGTAGCATTTAGGGCTACAGAGTGGTAAGAGTCAACTGGCTGTTGGATGAAAGGCTGTAGGCATGCTATTTTGTGACAAAGCAGGGTGATTTCAAGGACATGTTATGTACATACACTTAGATTATAAGATGTTACTACTGGGGGAGGAGGAAAAGCACTTTGCTTATGCAGAAGTCACTGGAGGAAGGCAGGGATCTCTCCTGTGAGA